TTTTCAAGAAAAAAGATGTAAAATTTGACTTTGTCTGTTTGTTACAGAATATGAACGAGCAAAGGAAAGATGAAATTTGGATGTATATACAACACATTGAAGAGGAGGTAAGGAAAGGGAATTTTATTCCTAGACCCAAGTCTAGGAAGAAGCTACATAATATGTTAGAAATTTAGTAAATTTCTGTCAGTTTTGATAGCTTTATATATAAAGTCATTTAAGAAAGAATCAAGACTCACAAATTTACTTACAAATTTTTCACTCTGTTAGATGATAAATATGATAAATGGAGTTTTTTTTTTTTTGAAGTCTAGAGTTTTTTTATTTTTTATTTTAAAATATACATACCAGGCCTCCCCGGTGGCGCAGCGGTTGAGTGCTGGGTGTGAAGCTGCCCGCAGCCTCTGCAGCGCTGGTTCGATTCCCAGCTGCTCCCCAGCCACTGGAGGAGGGTCCCACATGGCGCGCAGACCTCTCCTGCCGTCCGCTGCTCCCCTCAGCATTGTACTCTTCGGTCCTTCTGCCTGCTCTGCTCCCCGCTCTGGCTCTGGTGAGTTCTCTCACCCTCCCGCGCTTCTGACTGTATCCAGTGCTTGTATAAATAATAAATAAATCTTTAAAAAAAAAAATAAATGCAAACCTGCTTTGAAAATACTTAAAATATATATATACATACCATGCCATGAACTCACAGGGCAGCTCAGGCTGCTTTTCAGTGGCTCTCACAAGTGTGCCTTACTGGGTGAAGCAGGCCTATGGGTGCTTCAGTTGAACCCAAGTGCCTTTTGCTCAATCTAGTGCTACTGTGGGTGAAATCTGAAGTAAATCAGTGAGAATTTTAAAAGTCTGAGATTTCTGGCCTCCCTGGTGGCTCAAGGGGTTAAGCACTGCACCATGAAGCTATCTGCAGCCTCTGCAGCACGAGTTCAATCCCTGGCAGGGAGCAACCCACATGGCGTGGCAGACCTCTCCTGTCTCTCCCGCTGCTCCCCTCAGCAGTGTATTTCAGACAGTCTGCTGTTCTGTTCCCCACTGTCTCTGGTGAATCCTCTCACTCCTCACATCTCTGGCCTGTACCCCAGCTCATATATGCATAAATAAATAATCTTTAAAAAAAAAAGTCTGAGATTCCTTTGCATGTTTCTGAATAGAAGTCTTTTTAATATTTTGTTTTTTGGTCTTAGCAGTTGCTTAGTAATCTAAGCCTCTAGATTTGGGAAGTACACTTGAAGCCCATATGGTTAAACTGCTGCATGTATAAATAACAAGACCAGTTTTTTTGTTATCCAGAATAATTTTTGAATATTACTATGATTCCACAACAAGAGACTATCAGAAAAATCTGAAACTTGGGAATAAAGAAATAAGGAGGTATGTATTTTCCATGTCATAGTGGGAGAAGGATCTTCTAAGATTAATCTAAGTCTCTGGACTATCAGCATCACCTGAAAACTGGTTGGATTTAAAGTTGTTGGTCCCGTCTCAGATTGATTGAATCAGAAACTTAGGCTGGGACCCAGCAGACTATTTTATCATGCCTTCCAGGTGTTTCTGATGTATGTTAAAGTTTGAAAACCATTAATCTAGGGGGAACTAATTTCAATTCACTGGCTACAATTTTTTTTTTAAATTTATTTATTTATTTATTTATTTATTTATTTATTTATTTATTTATTTATTTAATTTATACAAACACTGGGTTCAGTCAGAAGTGTGGGAGGGTGAGAGAATTCACCAGAGCCAGAGCGGGGAGCAGAGCAGGCAGAAGGACCGAAGTACAATGCTGAGGGGAGCAGCGGGCGGCAGGAGAGGTCTGCGCGCCATGTGGGACCCTCCTCCAGTGGCCGGGGAGCAGCCGGGGATCGAACTGGTGCTACAGAGGCTGCGGGCAGCTTCACAACCCAGTGCTCAACCGCTGCACCACTGGGAGGCCCACTGGCTACAATTTTTAAAGGTACCAGACTTAGTGAAGTCACGTGTTATCTTGTTTATTTCTGATAGAGATACAAGTAATTTCTGTCTAGTGGAAAAAAATAGCTGAAAGGTTATGATTCATGGTATTGTTGGGCATGAGGCAAATGTGCATCTAACTCAGCAGTCTTATATTCACATTACCTAAAATACCAACCTTTTGATGCTTTTGGGCTAAGTTTGAACATCTTAATGTTTTCCTAACTAGTGAGTTGAATAAAATCATTAACAGGTATTTTTATATTTACATGAGTACAGTGGTTTTTAGCCCTTTGAAAATCATTCTTTATCAATATATTTCATACTGTGGCAATGAATCCTGCTAGGAGAAAACGAGTGCCTTGAAGGCAGTAGTTTTTGTTAGTATTTTATTCAAGCACATTGTCTGGTACATAAGCTCTGAATGAGTATCTGTGAAATCAGTAAATGCTACCTAGAAGATATTTAATTTTTAAAAGAGGGACTTTATAAATGGTCTGTAAGTATCATTCCTGTTAACTTGTATGGGATTTGTTATAAGGGACCGCAAGGTTAAAAGATAGAATTGGAAATGGAAATTTTCTCCAAGATACTGTCCAAGATCTGTTGGTTGTCAGTCATGAGTCAGACTATAAGTCAAGTGGTTATTTCAGATCCAAATCCCAGCATGGGTTGTTTGGTTGCTGTAGGGAAAATGGAAGCGGTCAGGTTTTTACCTGTGGTCTGATATGTGTGCCTGATGGGGGCACCTGGAGTGTGGTGTGGGCATGCATAAGTGGTACCCCTGAGCCGAGAGACTGAGCATATAAGGGCAGCAGAGAAAAACGCGGCAGTAGAGGGCTGGGCAGCAGAGAGACCGAGAGAGAACACCAGAGAACCCAGAAAGAGCAGAGATTCGCCAGGGGCTAGGAGGCTTCCAAGCCTCCTGGCCCCCGGCCCTCCTGCCTGCCCTGCAACTTGTTGCCTCAGTACAAATGATATAGAAAGATCTTAAAAGCCTGAAAAAGCCACCGGGAACTCCAGGACTCCTCCTTTATCCATCTGCCCGGATCATATAAAACCTCTCTGTGCTTTGCTGGCACTACATTTGCTCTTCAGATGGAGGAGACACTTGCAAGCAATACTCGGAGAAATGTCCCAAAATAATTTTGTTATTGTATAATATGAAGAGGAACTAACGTGTCATTAAGAAAAAGAACCAAATGGAAGGGCAAGTGGTGTTAGGTAAATCCAATCAAAATGCTGGAAAATCTAAAGCGCATGCCTCACTGCCAATGGGGGAACTGCTAGTCCTGTAATATTGCCACATATTTTTTAGATTGACTATGGAGGGACAATTGTTTTTCTTTCCCCTTGCTTTTCCTTTAGGCAGTCTTTGCCTCTCACATTCTGGGGCAATAGTGGATGGTTAATCAGTTATCTCCTTCTCTTCCCCATCTCCATACAATGACACATTTATATCCAATGCTATTAAGATTTCTGTCTTCTGGAAATTTAAACCCTGAGCAGAATGATAAAGGGACTTAAGTCAAACATCACCAAAGCAGTATTCCAAAGCAACTGTCATGATTTCCTGACTGAGATCCCTAGACTAATTTCATTCCTTGGTATTGCCTATTTCCTCATTCTTCAGATTTTCCTTCCATCTGCACCTCTCCCTAATTTCCTTTTGCATAAATTAGTTAAGGCGGCTTACACTCCTCAAAGTATGATTCCTGATACAACATCTATATTCCAGATGAAGTGATGTATCCCAAGTCACATACTCAGCAGTCAAATCAACTTCTAGCCCATGGCTCTGCTTCTTAGATTTTGGTGTAACACAAGTTTACGTGGTCCTTGAGTGGAATTAAAGAGCACCTGACTTTGACTGAAGAACTGACTTTTATTTCATGGAGAACTTTTCTTATTGAAAAACTTATTTACTATAGGAAAATATTCTCAATATACTTCTAGAAATGACAATCAATAGTGATGTGACTGACTTACATTTATTTTCATTATATTGTTTGACATAATAGAGTGTCACAGCAGGACAGAAGGGTTAAAATAAAAATCCTAAAGAAATACCTAATAACCCCAATACAATTAAATAAGAACTAGCTTGCAGATTAACAGAAAAAGTCCTTTATTTGTTTATAACATCATTTTGTAAACAATTACACTGTGCATTTTTTAATTCAACAATAACAATTTTTTTCTTCTATCAATTTACAGCAAACTCTATATAAAGTTGATCAGTTAATACAGGAGTGAAGATGAATAGAGTAGAATAATTTCGGAAAATTTAAATTACAGCACTCAATATAAAGACAGATAACTGTACCATAAAAATTTACATGCCACAAAACATTAATTTATAATTTTAAATATGCAGTAAAACACATTTATAAAAAGGCATCAATATTAATTTTATTATAAACCAGTGAATTACTCAGAGGAATATTTATTAAAACTTACTAAAAATCGGTAAATATTGCAACTGAGGTAAAAATTTATAAGTAAACACAACTATCATTTATAAGAGCCAAAAAGTAAACATATGGGCAGACAATACTTTCTGATTACTGTCTACTCCTTGATATTTTGCAGCAGCTTCAATAAATGAGACTCGATAACCTGTTGAACTAGAACAGATGGGGGATCAAAACCACAGCATATTGATTACAAAACTTTGGAAAGAACTATCAAGTTCAACCTAACATCCCCAACTTTTTCCTAAAAAGTGAATTATAAGTTGGACACACTCATAGTTTGAAGCTGATAATGCAATGCATTAATTACTTAAAAGTTACTCTGCCACTGACTTAATAATTATTCAATTATTGTTAATATTGTTCAAATTACTGAATTTTCTGTGTCTTGGTTGGAAACTGAAGGACAGTCAGGGGCACAAGGTTGTTCTAAGAAATAGAGAAAGGGCAACATAAAGCATCTTATAAGTAGCTTGCTATGAAAATGTTAAATATACTTTGTAAACAGGGATGCTCTTATCCCCAGCAACTGATATTTGGGTTGGTAAAAATTAATATTAACCAACTTATTTCTAGAGTTTGTAGGAAATTCGTTCTTTCTGTCCACAGTTTAAAGTATAAGTCAGGAGTTAGGATAACATGTAATGTTCTGTGACTATAATTGATGAAAATGGTCTACCCACCCACTGGTCTGTATGTACCACTTTATTTTTTAGTTTTCCAAAAATGAAATCTAAGGGTTCTAAAATTCACTTACCACTTCTATAGCCCAGGGCTACAGCTAAATCCATAGAATTATATCCAGAGTCAGTTTCAATCGTTGGATCAGCTCCATTTTCTATTAAAAATAGAAAAATTTACATAAATAAAATGAAAATGTAGTTATGCTTGTCTCTTGCTGGCTCATGTGAAAATAGAAGGACAGACTTTCAGCAAATTTGGAGGGTATTTTCAGGGTTGTCTCACAAATTCCAGAGTACAAGGAATGCACAGATTCACCCTCTGGAGCGGCTGAAACTCATAAACAACTAGAGCAAGGACTATGCATAATAACACTATGGACAGAGAAAACACAAATGGATTCACATGTGGCCCCCCAGAAGGAAAGAAACATGGACAAATGGTCTGACAGCGGGCCTGGTATGTGATGGAGCTGCTTTTCACATGGGCAACTCTACGGTAGTAGGTGGTCCAGAGGTGAAGACCAGCAATATTAATATATTTAACTGCGGTTAATGATTTTCCTGGGTAATACCACAGAAGGCCAGTGAGTAAAAATAAAGTTCTCACATGGCATTTCTAAATATTTTCAATTTTATCTGCTTACCTAAGAGCATTTTTACACATTTCACATGATTTCCATGTACAGCATAAAGCAAAGGTGTCCCTCCATTCTGCAAAAAGAATAGAGTGGTTTAGTTTTTCAAGGTGAGCAAGATTCAAATAATTTGATGCTGTAATGAGAAGTTTACCATGAAATTTAAAGTTATTTTAAAAGTAGTTTAAAGTTATTTTTACGATTTTGTGAAAAATACTTAAATCAAAACTAGTAATTGAGTTTATAACAACTTTTTCTTCTAGGAGTTTGATTAACTAAATTATTCTTCTGTTTAAAACATTTATTATGTCTCCCTCAAACCAATTCTAGAGTTTGTTAAAGTAATTAAAAAATGAACATCATAGACTCACCCAGTCGTATTCATTTACATCAACTCCACAATCAAGCAGCATTTTGACAATATCTGTGTAGCCTTTACTACAGGCCAATGACAGTGCACTTTCTCGACCCTTTCCTAAAAGTTGGGGATCAGCACCCTAGTGTGGGAAGTGGAGATAAAAGACTTTTCAATCCATGTAAGCAAGAATGTTGTTATTTCTGCCAATAATTACAATTCAACACTTAGGTAATGTTCTTAATAGAAATAATGCAAATGTCTACTCATTACCCAGGTTGTCTGGATGCCTTCCTTCTTTCCTCTATCTCAATCCTAACTATCCTTTCACTCTGCATCAAGTCACACCTCCTCAATGAAGCTTCCATTGGGCTGACAGTATTTTGGTTCCATTGTATTTAAGGGGTTGGGCATTAAACTATCTCTCAGTGTTTCATGTATGATTAGTCTTGCCTGCCCAACCAGATTCATTTTCCACAAGAATAGAAAAGCATTTAAAATATTGTTGGTTCTTCTACCATTGTATCTAGCTGGTCAGAGACATAAAAACTTTCTGAAGACTTAACTGAACTTAAGAACTATACATATACATTTTCTGAGGCATTTTCCTTACATTCTGAAGTAGAAACTCTACCACAGCTATTTGCCCGTGTGCTGCAGCCCACATCAGAGGAGTAAATCCTTCTTCATCCGTGTGATTGATAACATTTTCTAGTTAAAAGAAAAGCAATTTTTGTGATCTAATTTAACAACCACATAGTAATAGCACCATGAAAATACTGGTATTCTAAAAGTTTGACTGTATTATTCAATGAGGTTCACTGAAATCCTAATATGTGGTGTACTTTGCGTTTGAAAATAGTAAAATGTACCTCAATGTACACTGATGAATTCAAATAGCATATTATTTCAAGTATAAACTACTAGATGTGGCATAATACTAAGTATAAGGCAGACCACAGAACACTGGACTGAGAGTCAGGAGGCTAGAGTCTGAATCTTGGCTTTGTTACTTCCAAGCAGTGTAACAGTTAATGTCTCCAAGATACAGAATAAACATTACTTCTTGCTGGGTAGTTAGGATGATGATAATACAAATTAAGTAAGAGCACTTTTTTTTTAGCATCACATAAATGTTATTACAAAAACTCCAAAATTCTATAAAAGCTAACTTCTACTCAATAGCTAACATTGCTGAATTTCTTTCATTCTTGTGGTTTGCTAGTGAAATATAATGTGAATTAAGACTGAATAATCTGAAACACAGCATCATCAATTCCATCTTAAAGCCCATTTTATTCTCTAAATTTACTCTACCAGTTATAAACTCCATTTTTTTCTAAATTTATTTAGCAGATGAGAATGAAGCCACCAAATATTAATAAATAAATTTAATGATTAATTCTTACAAGAGAATGACATGATTAGTAAAACTCTTTCATCATACTCCCTGTATTCAATAATGTTGGTAAAACTGGCTAACTTTTGAAGAATGAAAATAAAGTTCAGGGCCTCCCCTAGTGGCGCAGAGGTTGAGAGCTGGGCTGAGAAGCTGCCTGTAGCCTCTGCAGCACGGGTTAGATTCCCGCCGCTGCCGGGGAGGGTCCCACATGGCACGATAGACCCCTCCTGCCGCGTCCGCTGCTCCCCTCAGCAGTGTATTTCGTCAAGTCTACCTGTTCTGTTCCCCGCTCTGGCTCTAGTGAATTCTCTCACCCTCCCGCACTTCTGACTATACCCAGTGCTTGTATAAATAAATAAATAAATCTTTAAAAAAAACAGAAAAGAAAAGAAAGTTCAGTCTTTACTTCATTACACTGAAAAATAATTCATATGGTTCAAAGATTAAAATATAAAAAGGAAATCACAGAAGTTCTAGAATAAGGCATGGCTTTAGTTATTCATAATTTTGACATAGGAAATCATTTCTAAGCAAGATATGAAACCCAGAAGTCACAAAGAAAAAATGAATTTACCACTTAAAATTGTAAAACTTTGTTTGAAAACCTGATAGAGTCAAAGGTAAAATGAAACACTGGGAAAAATTATACATAATATAAAGACCAAAAAGCTAATTTTTAAATTTATGAGTCCATACAAATTAATACAAGATAGGCAGTTCAAATAAACAGGAATTCAAATAGACATTAAATAAAAGAAATGTAAATGGAACCTGTATGATATCACTTTTTACCCATCAGGTTAACAAATATGAAAGTCTGATATAAAAACAAAACTGGGCAATATATATAAAAATAAAAATTTACATTTTTTTGATTCAGCACGTGGAGGTGTTTACCTATGGGTATACTTAAAAAGAATGCCAACAATATTGTTATTAAACAGCAACAAACTGGAATGGGTACCACCAGGGAGATTAGTTAAAAAATGAAACACAGAAAATGCAATACAATGCAAAATAATGTTAACTATTACAAAGAATGAAATAGATCGATCTGTACTTAATGGACAGACCTCCAAAACATTAAGTAAAAAAGGAAAAGTACAATGCAGTGTGTATAGTATTTTCCCTTTTGTGTAACAAAAGCACATGCATACTCTTACACATTCTTACATATAACCTCAAATATAAACAGAAATGTTTTCTAGAAAAATTTTCTGAAAATATAAGAAATTTATAATGCTTTCTTTGGGTAAAAGACTATAACTTTTATACTTTACAGTACTTAAAAAAAAATCTATTGGCTTATCTGCCTGGTGAGATTGTCCAATTGTTTGTTTTTGTCTTTATACTTTCCAGTATTAAAATGAAATAAAACAATTGCAAAGTTAATAAATTCTATTAACTTTTATTTAAACAAATTTAAGAAAACCAGGTTATTACCTTGTTCGATACGACTAGCCAGGTAGAGCATCTCTCCCTGAGCAGCCAATTGGTGAACAGATAAAGCTGAAAGAAAACCATAAAGTTTTTAAAAATTACTTTTATTGGGTAACTTTGGTTTAGTGGTATAGGTTTGCACCTCTTCATATGTAGGCTATCAGACCCCGCCTACCGCCAAAGCACCAATAATACTCCACCATACTCCATTGAGCCCTACCCAACCCTTGCACCTCATCCTCCTACACTCCTCTTTGGTTGCCTCAGTTCTGCAGTCAGATTGCAATGGTTTATTTTGTCATAATCATAATAAGTTGTATATTTGTAGGGTACACGTTCATCATCTCATTGCTCATTTTTGTGCAGTAATTATCTTTAAAAAAAAACAACTATAAAATAAAACTATAAAGGTTTTAGAATTAACATTTCAATCTTTATTTGTTCTTAAGGGAAATATTTGAATATGTAATATTTCTAGACACAGTTCTAAATTACTAAAACTATCATCACATCACTTATCTTCAAAAACAGAACATGCATGAAACATTAATGAAAATAATGTTTCAAAGCCAAATTCTTGAAACCATTATATTTGTAATGAGAATATTTTTATCTGTCAATGGGAAATACTTACAATTTGCTAACAGTGGTGTGGTTGAGACCTCATTTCCTCTATGTTTGTTGGTTAAAGTAGTTGACTGCTTTATGGGTGAGAAGTGCTTTGTTGTAGAGGGAGTGTAGACATGCCTTACTTGAATGCCAGGAGAAGGAGATGTATGGATGTTGCATTCAGCTAGTTAAGACAGATTGAAACAGTATTTTAATGACAAAGCATCTCAAAGTTCTATGTAAGTGCTTACATAAAGAAATACATGACGTATAATATCTTAAGCTGTTCCTTAAGTGATACTAAGTTTTCTTGGTCAGAAAGTCTACACTACCATAGTGAAAGTTCTAGAAAAATAAGGTATTACTCGAGCAATTTTACTAGCAGATTAGTTTTTTATTCAATAGATTGTTACAGATTTCAGTGTGTCAAAGCGTTGGAAGGTAATTCCAACCAAATATTCATGGTGTAGGGAATATTAATTTGTTTCTAAAAGATACAAGTAATTTTTTCTCTTATGATTTTAAAAGCACAATAAAAAACTTGTAGAATTTGTAATATGTAAAGAAACATACGTTAAGCAAGAACTTTAAAAAAAATCAAGATGTACTTATGGACATTATATGACATGAAATTATTAATTTTTATTTCTGTGTAATTCTAGAAAATAAAAAGATGAATTTTCAAACTTTCTAAACTCAAAAATCTCATGATCAGAAAGGAAAAAGTACCACATAAAAACAAAACAAATGCAGATATTTATACCATAACTTTCAACCTTTAAATAGGACAGATGCCACCTCCAGGTCCGAGTTAACTTGATCTTGAATATTCTTACTATCCTCTTCATTTAAGGACTTCACAAATCGAGAACACACATTCATATCAAATCGGTTAGGCAATATGAACTTCATTCCCATGGCAACACCCTGAGCTGATCCTTCTTCTGCATTTGAGTCCAGTGGATGTTCTATTTTAATGTCTGGCATTCCCGTTAGACTGTAACTGCTGGGACACTCTTCCACCTTTAGTGGAGCTCCAATATCTAGATTTGCTGATGTAGCCATGATTTCAACTGTAGTTTCAATAATTAAAATATTTCTTCATGATTTTCTCTTAGTTTTATAAGAGTAGTATCCAGTATACTCTTGGAATTTGGATAGTAATTCTGAAAGAATAAAATTTAAATTATATTAACTTATGTAAAAGTACAAAAAATGATAATTTTCAATCACATATGCAAATAGTGCTCTTACAAGTGCTTAAAATAGAGAGGATACTATGTTCAGGGGTAGAGAAACCTGGATATTAATCAAGCTTCACTATTTATTAGCTGTGTGAACCTGTGTAAGTCACTCAAACTCTCTAAGCCTCAGTCTCATTTGTAAAAACAGGGCAAAACCATTAACTTTACAGATTTTGGTAAAAACTAAGATGAAATATATAGTATATTCTCACTTCCATTACTAGGTTCCAACAAATTTTATTGATGTTATCCTTTTCTCCCCCCCCCTTTTTTTTTTAAGATTTATTTATGCATACAAGAGCTGGGGTACAGGCCAGAGGTATGGGGGTGGGTGGGTGAGAGGATTCACCAGAGACAGAGTGGGGAACAGAACAGGCAGACTGACTGAAGTACACTGCTGAGGGGAGCAGGAGGCGAGGAGAGGTCTGCTGTGCCATGTGGGTTGCTCCCTGGCCTGCCCCAGGATCGAAATCATGCTGTAGAGGCCGCGGACAGCTTTAGGGGTTGCATCTTAACCCCTGTGCCACCAGGGAGGCCCTTCTCCCCCTTTCTATTCCTGAATATTGCCAAATTGATAAAAGATTCATTTTATATTAATGAAAATAAACTTTCGCATTAACACTTAAACTTTTTTTTTTTTAATGCAGTATTTATAAGCAGCCATACAACTCATGTCATACCCAATTCTATTAGAATCTATAACACCCATGATCCCTGGATAGCAAAGGGTTTTACAAAGCTTTGGTTATGATGAACTGAAGTTATATTTATCAGTTTTATTCAGATCAAGTATTGACAACTTATTATAGGTTCTTATGTAAAATAAAGCATGTAGATTATAGATTGGCTTTTGCCTTAGCAGCTGTAGGATATTAGGGTCAAAGTATAATTCTTGGATCTCAATCACTATAATAAGTATTAAGAAATAAGAATTACTGATTTTTTTTTTCAAATACAGGTTTCTCCTGGTATCTAAAAATAGAATATTCCTATTTGACATGATTTGGTAGGTTATTTTTTGAGCTGTGAACCTTATTACTACAAATTTATATGGAAAACAATTTGTATATTCCCAGACAAAAATCATGCCAAATAGAAACAATCTACTTTCAACATTAAGACATAAACTCAATAAATGCCAATTTTCATCTGTTATTGAATCATTTAATATTGTTTTTAAATGAGTTTTCAGTAATTGCTGGCACGTTTCTATGGATCTTAATATTATTTTAAGAGAAATTTCATTATTGTACCTAAAATTGCTTCTAAAAAGTGAAGAACTCAAGATATATAATTGCCCTAGATTATATAATCACTGAGAAAGAGAAAAAATGAACAATTAGTTAAATTCTCATGGGCTTACTGTCTTCAGAAATTTTGAGAGGATACAAGGTGTTTTAAAATTGGAATTAAGAGAGAAAAATGTGTATCACAGTGGAGCCGAGGTTGGCAAATCATACATATATAGAGTACCACCACTTCCAGTTTTAAGACATTTCCTAAGGTTGATTATGACAGCAGTCCTTTGAGTAGTCAGGACAGGTAATCATTATCCACCACAGAGAAGAGAAAAAAGAAATGCAGGAGTTTTGAGGTAACTATCCAGCTCTTCTAAGCCCATCACCCACTCCATTAAAATAGGAAGTACTAAACTAACCCCAAAGTTCCATGTAGTAGAAAGTAAAAAGAAATAACAACAAAAAGAAACAGGTAACAAAGTTAATACAAGTTAGCAAAAGAAGAGAAAGAAACTAGAACAGAGAATGAGTTCAGTGATGCAAATGGAGGTGCAATGCAGGGTCTTTCCAGCTCTAGAGAACTTCCATGCTGTATAAATCAGGGTTTACAGGTGGCGTTACCGGTCGTTGAGGGGAGAATGAAAACATACTTGCGGACGAAGGGCGGAAAAATAACAATCATACTTGGGTGGAGATGGCGGAAATAGAACACTTATCTCGGCACTCTTCTAGAGAGAAGCAAAGTTGGCTGGCTCAACCAAATTTTTCGAGGACTTAAGAGGCAGGGGGATAATAGCTGCCCGAGGAGGCGGTGAGAACAAGAGGTAAGACTAAGGAAGGACTGCCAGTTTCACCACGACGTGAAGGAAGAGAGAGCATAACGAGATAAAGCGGGAAACTGTGCCAGGGCCCAGTGGATGCAAACAGCCGGGGTCCCTGGGTTCTCCCTAATCCTGGAATTTTTTTGCAAGGACAGGAAGGTGCTAGGAAAATGAATGATGCCTCACAGGCGACAGGAGTCCCAGGACAGGAGCCCGCTGGAGGGAGGGTGCGGCAGAGGGAAAGTCCGCTCTGGCGCCACCCGCCAGCTCCGTCCGACAGTCCCAGCGCCGGGCAGGTATGGCAGAGGAAACTAGGGCTCACCCGCGGCGGGCGGGCCCCGGGCATCCGGGCCGAAAGGCGACACGAAGAGAGCGCTGGGCCTCGCGACCACTTTCGACAGCCAAGAGTGAGTCGGGTCTTTCCATCTGCGGCCACAGATGCCCTAGAGGCCCCCAAATCGAGGCTTGTTTTGGCCACGACGTCACTTCCGATTTCTTCTTTCGCTTTCTGGCCTAAAACTGTTCCGCTTCATTGCAGCCGAGCGAACCTCCCGGTTTCTTTCCCCGTCGCTGCACAGCGCTGTCTTTACTACCGGAGTATTACGGAGACAGGGTCGTTGGGCAGAGCAGAGGCCCCGGGTCACTGGAGCGAGACCACAGGCTCAGCCTCCGGCCACGCCTCCTCCGCCCCTTCGCCCCGCCCATCTGACCTCCCCCTGCGTCACCGGACGGCGCGGGCCTCGTAAGCCTGCGCCTTCGCGTCATCTTCGCGCGACCCGCCTGGCCGTTCCATTTACCCGGTGGCTCCGCGCCTCCCTGTAGGGTCCTCGTGACTTCTGCAAGTGATACTGAATGGCTTAAGGGAGGGAACTGGAGGAACCCAAGCAGTTCTCCTCGGAGCTGAGGAGTCTCGGCGGACCCTCGGAGCCATTGGAGGTAGGTGATGGCAGCTCCCTTTAGGGTAGCCCCGACGCTCGTCGGGCCTTTCTTGCTATCTGGCATGCTGCCCGGGGGCATCTCAGTTTCCGCAGATTGGCTCAACTTCTTAACCAGCCTGCCAGCGTCTCGGCTGTTTGGCTTCGACCTAGATTTTTCTCCGCTACGAGCTCACCCTCCCCTAACTGTCTGCCTTTATCAGTTTCCGGAGTAATCCTCCCCTTTCCAAAGCGGTGGACAGTTTCCATTTCTGTCTTATGAGGTTCCTTCAATTTTGAATGCTCCCGCCCCCCTCTTTTGCGTGCATCTTCAGTGGCGAATCTGTCATAATATATTTAAAGACTCAGCTGAAGTGGACACTTGGAATCTCTCCAGGAGTCCCCCAGTTAGAATTAATGAAACCACTTCTCAGCTCTCAGTACTTAAGGTTTTTTGATATCCTACATTGTATTGTAATACCTGTTATTCTTTTAGTCCTAGGTTTTCAGGCACAGACCTCTTTCCGATAATTTTCTTTTTCACATGATTTCTTGCCTCCATGCCTTTGGGCTGTATCGAACTCCCCCTTACCCTCCCCAAATGCTCTTCCTCACTTTAATCTGGCAAAACGCTGCTACTGCGCCTCGCTTCTTTCTACTCGTTTTAAACTGTTCCTTTGAAGGCAGAGTTAGGTACTCCTTCAGCTATACTCTAATAAGGCACGAAGGCCCATATGCTTTTGTTGACTCCTATGTCAATATTCATATTATAGACAGCATTTTTTATTTGAAATTGGTGTTTTTCCCACAGAACCCAGCACAGTGCTTTCTACCTATGGTAGTCCTATCTTATTCCTCTTGCTTCCTTTAGATTGTGTCTTCTGTGTTTACAGATTTAATAGTTTAATGGTTATTAATCTGTAAGTTACCTCAGAAACTTTTCAAAGAATGCAGAGTGGAAATCATAATTATATATAGATTTGTGTAATGTATATAAAATATTGAGTAATGTATATAAAATATTTCCTTTTTCAGATTTATGCGGAGTCATTATAATTATTTTTAATCTCAATTCCAAAGGATTAACCACTGGACAACAGTGCAATTATATGAAATTATGGCTGGTTATAAGCCTGTAGCTATTCAAGCATATCCTGTACTTGGTGAAAAGATCACACAAGATACGCTGTACTGGAACAACTATAAGGTAAGTTTGTCAATCATGGGGTGAGGGGGCATTTGCATTTATGACAATGTGGAACTCTAATGAAAACTAATAACTAAAATTAATCTATCAGCAACTTACAGTTTGGGCAGATCAGTTGATAGTTAATATTTTTTTCTAGGAATTTTATAGAAAAGTCCATATTGCTTAATCAGTTTAAGTTTAGAATTTTGATTAATTAATGAATTTTATAATTTGAATCTCATGCAAGAAGTTTTTTATTTTTTTTAAGATTTATTTCTTTATACAAGAACTGGGGTACAGTCAGAGGTGCCGAAGGGTGAGGGAATTCACCAGAGACAGTGGGGAGCAGAACAGTCAGACAGACTGAAGACACTGCTGAGGGGAGCAGCAGGCAAGACAGGAGAGGTATGCTGTGCCATGTGGGTTTCTCCCTGGCTGGCCGCGAATCGAACCCGTGCTCCAGAGGCTGCAGACAGCTTCACATTGCAGCGCTCAACCCACTATGTCACCGGGGAGGCCCTACAAGAAGATGTTTTTGCCTTAACCTAAGGAAATAGGGCCTCCCTGGTGGCGTAGGCGGTTGAGCTCAGAGCTGTGAGGCTGTCCGCAGCCTCAGCAGCGGTGGTTCAGTCCCGGCCGGCCGGCGAGGGTCCCATGAGTCGCAGCAGACCTCTCCTGTCTTGCCCAATACTCCCCTCAGCAGTGTATTTCGTCATTCTGCCTGTTCTGTTCCCCAGTCTGTCTCTGGTAAAGCCTCTCACCCTCACGCGCATCTGGCCTATACCCTGGTTCTTGTATAAAGAAATAAATCTTAAAAAAAAAAAAAAAAAACAACCTAAGGAAATAGTGATGCAAAATTCTTACTGCTAAATTAGCTTACAAATGAGTTTTTTAAAAAGATGAGTAAGTAGAAAATGTGAAAAGATTGTGAGGTTTATGGAAAAAGTTTTTTTTTTTTAAAAGATTATGGTTTTTCTTTAGCTGTTTTTTTTTTTTTTTAAAAGATTTTATTTTATTTATTTATACAAGCACTGGGGTACAGTCAGAAGTGGGGGAGGGTGAGCGAATTCACCAGAGCTAGAGCGGAGAGCAGAACAGGCAGACTGACGAAGTACACTGCTGAGGGGAGCAGCGGGCGGCAGGAGAGGTCTGCGCACCATGTGGGACCCTCCCCGGTGGCCGGGGATTGAACCAGCGTTGCAGAGGCTGCGGGCAGCTTCGCAGCCCACGCTCAACCGCTGCACCACCGGGGAGGCCCTGGAAAAAAAGTTTTAATGGCCAATAAATGTATTACGAGACTCAACTTCACTCATAATTGAAGAAATGCAAATTAAGTAAAATTAGATATTGTTTTTCATTTATTATACTGGCACACATGAAAAATTTTGATCATCATTGCTACTCGAGGAAGGGAAATTACTATAAACTTTTTGGAGAGCAATTTGGCATTATCTGACATAAAACAATGTACACAACTTTTGGCTTTCTAGTCTCACAGCCTGGAACTTTCTCAATAAATATACTCCTGAAAGTTTGCTAACATGATTGATAACAACATGTGTGTGTGTGTGTGTGTGTATGTATGTGTATAAAATCAATGTATGTATATTTATGTTATATAAACATTCATTGAAATCTTATTTGTAATGTTAGAAATCTTAGAAGAACCTGTGTTTATTAATAGTGAACTGGTGGAGTAAATTATGATGGATGTTGTGGATGTTACATTTGTAGCTTACCTGAAAAGTTAGCTAATGTGCTAGTAAGTAATAGAAAGCAAGATATATAATGACCTGCATAGTATGCTGTGTGTTCAAAATATACATGGTTAAATGTGTGTGGGTATAACTTCCTTTTTCTAGTCATAATCACAGGAAACTCAACAGCTGAACAAAAAGAGTGAGGTGACTTTCTGAACATATATTATTTTACATTAATGGGAATAGAGATAGTCTGGGTGACAGGACTTGGGCAATTTTTTGATTTCTTTATACCTTTGTATTAAATACAGTCTAGTAAATGTTACTAAGAACAAAAAGAAATGGTCTGTAAGAAATTATGTAATGCTTAAATAGGTGTTGGTGTTCCCACTTGTAACTCTGTTAATCCTTTATATTGTTTTTCATTAAGACCCCTGTTCAGATTAAGGAGTTTGGCGCAGTGTCAAAAGTAGACTTTTCTTCACAGCCACCATATAATTATGCTGTTACAGCTTCTTCAAGGGTAACTATAATACTGCATTCCTTATTTTTTATATAGTTTATATTTACTACTGATCTTGAGGCATCTGTTGAGTTACCATGTTTTTTATCTTGTAGATTCACATTTATGGCAGATACTCCCAAGAACCTGTAAAAACCTTTTCTCGATTTAAAGACACAGCATACTGTGCTACTTTTCGACAGGACGGTAAACTGCTTGTGGCTGGCAGTGAAGATGGTGGAGTTCATCTTTTTGATATAAGTGGAAGGGCTCCCCTTAGGCAGTTTGAAGGACATACAAAGTAAGCAACAGTTGGTTTTTATGTGTCCTTTTTGTTTTTTTGGTGTAATCTAAGCTGTATTCATTTTCTAGGCTTTGAGTAAAAGCAGAGAATTTAAAAAAAAAAAAAATTCATGAATATTATGTAACTTCAGGTACTTTTCCCCTGGTGGGCCTATGGCAGAGCTTAACCTAGGTCCCATGGTTGAGTTTCATGCGACTTGTGAATCCCCTAGAATTGTGTGTGACATTTTGGGAAATGTGCATTTATCTAGGGAGACATCCTGCAGCTTTCATTAACTTCTCACTGAGTTCTGTGACCTGGTTGAGATTATAAACACTGGTCTAATGGCAACTATTAGACTAACTACTAATGAGAATTATGTAGGCCTGGACTATATTTGAGGTTGGAAGCTAGATTCTCTTCTTGGATTTAGTACTTTGCCCTTTGGTAAATTGAATGGCTAGGGCAGTTTATATTACAGCTTTGTTGCAGGATTCCCTGAATTATTTAAATTATTCAGAGTAACTTTGTATTCAGTCTTATAAATGTCTTTGTGAAAATTGGGTACTGATTTTAAAATCTCAAGTGTTTTTTATAATGTGTTAACGGGGTAGTTACCTATCAGTGAAACATTTCACTTTGATTGTATTAGAACATTCATCTTAATTAAACAGCTAGAATTGTAAGTAGAATTGCTAACATATTAGAAAATAAAGTTGTAAAGCTATTGTTTAATATTCTTATTACTTTCATAGTGTGGGGTTATTTAAAATTTTAAGTTGGCTTGGGGACAAACACCTGTTTTAAAGGTTTTTTTGGTCATGACTTTCCCCTGTAGTTATGCTCAGAAACTGAGCTTTTTTTGGGGGGGGCGGGCAGGAGGAGAGGAGTTGGAAGATGTCAGAAATACAAATTTTTTCTTACTTTTTAATATACTGATCCTTGATCTTTCAGAGCAGTTCATACAGTAGATTTTACAGCTGACAAATACCATGTGGTTTCTGGGGCTGATGATTATACAGTTAAATTGTGGGATATTCCAAACTCCAAAGAAATTCTGACATTCAAAGAACATTCTGATTATGTGAGGTGTGGATGTGCTAGCAAATTGAATCCGGATCTCTTTGTAACAGGTTGGTAAACTCCTTTTTTTCCTCTCATGAAGTTGATTATTTTATTATGAAATATTTTAATACTGCTTTGGGACTTTTTGGATAGACTTTTTAGGAGTTAAAATTTTTATGAAGGAATATGTTTTTGTTTATCCTATTCAAAAAATTTTTTTCTTCTTTTGTTGATTGTTTTTATTGTCTTCCAAATGTGTTTGGAACATCAGGCTGCGTTGAAAACTGTCAGTACCTTCGTGAGTTTAGTGGTCTGGTTTTTGCAGAGTCTTCAGCAACCAAGAAACAGAGACAGTGGGGTTCATGTTCTTTGTGGGTGCCTGTGCAAAGATTCCCAGATGACTCAGTAGTGACAGTAGTCTGAAAATAGAAATAGTTGAAGATTCTGTAGTATAGTATGGTGGGTTTGAAGGTACTGTATCTTCATGAATTTACAAAAATTTAAAATTTTTATCTACATCTTTTAATATTTATCTGAATACTGACACACACATTTTTTGTTGTTTTGAGCAGTGAAACTTACATAATGCCCAATTTGACATTTTAGGATCATATGATCATACTGTGAAGATGTTTGATGCACGAGCAAATGAGAGTGTTATCTCTGTAGAGCATGGACAGCCAGTGGAGAGTGTCTTGCTTTTTCCTTCTGGAGGTCTTCTGGTGTCAGCAGGTATTTCTTTTGAAAATTACTTTCACCAATGTTGTTGATCTTGAGTTATTTCATTATTAGTTACTTGCTATAATTTTATCATGTACACTTGAATTGCATATGTGAGTTTTTGCTAGGTTGATAATTGGGACAGGCAAATAGTTATCTCTTATTGAGTATCTGATGTAAGTCAGCTGTGCTGTTACATGCATATTATCTCTAATGCTCTAGGTAAAGCTACAAGGTAGGTAATTTTCTCCCTATGTTACAACTTACTATGTTGCAACTAAGAAAATAAGTTTTAACTAATTTGTCCAAGGCACAGTGTTAAGTGACAAATCTGAAATCCCAGACCTGAGGGCCTACATTATACACTAAACTCTCCTCCATCTTCTTTGATCCCAGAAATCCTAAAAGATCTACAGTAGCTTTTGAAAAATAGTTTCTTTTAGATCAAAAATGGGCTTTTCTCAAATCATTTGATTAAGATGGCCTTTCCCGGCAAGTTGCCAATAGTCTGGAGGAGGGATAATGTGGAGTCAAGCAGGGCCTTGATACATTTCTCATCAAATTGAAACTGGAGTGTTTTTTTGTTGTGTTGATCACAGTGTATTATCAGAATTATAATGGAAGAAATAAATTTGTTGAAATAGTCCAAATTAATGTGTTGACATTAGGAGAATGTATAGGTAGGTTGTGTGCATGTTTGATAGTATATATAAGGCTGTGGGTATAGCTTCTTTTTAATTCTAAAATCTGAATAGAATTACCCTGTTTCATTTTCTATTCCCTAGTACCTTTTTGCTTTAAAAATACATTGATAAATTGTCAGATGTGTTCATTTTTCTTGCTGTTATTTTGAGAAGTGGAAATAAATTCAATCTGAACAGGGAGAATGGAAACCTTTTTGCTAATCTGCAGTGTGCTACTAGCTAATCCTGTGACCTTATTCAACCTCTTAATTTCTAAAGACCTTGCAAGTGCACTATTGGTTTAGATCAGTGGTTTCAAGTTGGTTTAGATCAGTGGTTTCAAAGTGTATCTTAGGAGCTACCATATGTGGGGAGACAGGGACGGTAAAGTCAGTTCCAGGCCCTGTTTCTAGTCAAGATAGATAAAAACTTCTCTCCCCTGCTTCCCCTTGTCCTACTTTACCTGCTAGCCTTTTGCTTAATTTTTTTTTTGCAAATAAGGATGCTGTATTAAAAAAATTCTTTTTTTTTTTTTTTTAAGATTTATTTATTTATACAAGAACTAGGGCTACAGGCCAGAGGTGCAGGAGGGTGAGAGAATTCACCAGAGATAGAGCAGGGAGCAGAACAGGCAGATGGACCAAAGATGCTGCTGAGGGGAGCAGCGGGCGAGGCAAGAGAGGTGTGCTGCGCCATTTAGGTTTCTCCCTGGCTGCAGAGGCTGCAGACAGCTTCACAGCACAGTGCTCAACCCGCTGCGCCACCAGGGAGGCCCTAAAGAAATTCTTTTTTAAGCATCAGATTGAATTACTTCTAAGGATCCTTCTAATTTAGAGTAAAATTTTTAGGGAAGTTTTTCAGGTTTGTTGGGATTCGCAGAATTTTTAGGAAAGGAAATCTATATTTTTCATTCCCATGGCTATACAAAATACCTTTTAAAGAATGATTTTATCATAAATTTCTTTAAAAAAATCCTTTTCAGGGCCTCCCTGGTGGTGCAGGTGGTTAAGTGCCGCACTCTGAAGCTGTCCGCAGCTTCTGCAGTGTCACGGTTCGATCCCTGCTGGCCTCGGAGCAACCCACATGGCGAGCAGACCTCTCCTGTCTCTCCTGCTGCTCCCCTCAGCAGTGTATTTCATCAGTCTGCCTGTTCTGTTCCCCACTCTGTCTCTGGTGAATCCTCTCACCCTCCCACGCATCTGGCCTGTACCCTGGTTCTTGTATAAAAATAAATAAATCTTTAAAAAAATAAAAAAAAATCCTTTTCAGATATACTTTTACTCTGCAGGGCATTTCTGTATGAAATATGAAATTATTTAATCATTGTAACAGTTCTGGGGAAGGAATGGTTTTTATTTTTAGTTATTTACCTATTAAAGAGTACAACTTTATTTGAAACCAGCAGTCTGGCTCTGGAACCTCTTACTTAACTTCCTTGCTGTGGAGTGTCCAATGATGAATGCTTTTGAGGTCTTTAAAATTTTGAATCTACAGGCAGAAATCAAACCACCAATTATTTCTTTTTATAGGAGGTCGTTACGTTAAAGTCTGGGACTTGCTGAAAGGAGGACAGTTGCTAGTGTCTTTGAAGAATCATCACAAAACGGTGACGTGTTTATGTCTAAGCACTTCTGGACAGAGATTACTTTCTGGCTCACTGGATAGGTTAGTATTTTCATTTAACTTATTAATCATTAGTATGCAACACCTTGAACAACATTTCGTTATAATGTTAAAAATCGATTCCTGGCTGCATTCACTGTCTGCGTGGACTTTGCAGTTCTCTCCTTATCTGTGTGGGTTTTCTCCAGCCACTCTGGTTTCCTTCTGTATCTCAGAGTTGTGCATCTTAGGATCATTGGTGTGTCTGAATGTCCCAGTTTGAGTGAGTGTGGAGGTGTGTGTGTGAGCCCTTCTGAGCTGGAAGGGCATCCTCTCCAGGATTGGCTCCTGCCTTGTGCCCTGAGCAGTGGGAGTAGTCTCTGTGCACCAAGGCCCTGAACTGGAAGAAGCAGGTTGGAAAATGAATGAATATTGTTGAGTATTAGAAGTATTTTTGGTTTTTATTGAGAAGTTTGGTGATGTTTTTGTGACCAGAAGTCTACTGTACGAGCTTAACTCTTGTTTATATTAACTAGCATATGGTAACATTGGTTTCATTATACAGTTGTTTTGCTTAAAGTCGATTTCCAAGAATCTATCCACAATGTTAAGTGAGAACTTACTATACAAGTGTATACAAGTGTTCAGTGCTTGAGGAAGTGCATTATTTCAGTAGTTTTGGTGACAGAATATTCTGCCAGTTGGTTTCTATGAAAATTTGTTGATTTGAAATTAGTTTTGAGCTTTTGTTTACATATAGCACTTTTCTCCATTGACAGAATTGATTACTTTAATTTACATATACTTTTTAAGGGTTTTTTATTTATTATTTGAATATTAATCTTTTAAAATAATTGTGTATTTTGAAAAGTTTAAGTATATATATATATGGATTCTTGGTTATATTCTTAAAAATTAAAACTCCATGTGAAAATTTCTGTATACTATGTGATCTAAATATTGGTGCGTTTAGATACTTTAAATGGGTGTATTAGTTAATGTTAATGTTTAGTTAGTTAATGTTTTAATTAGTTAATGTTTTAGATTAGCTTGTATGATAGAAATATAATGCAAGCTATATATGTAATTTATTTATTTTTTTTTTAATTTTATAGAGGCATGTTTATTTGTTTATTTGTTTGTTTTGTTTTTGTTTATACATGCACTGGGTACAGTCAGAAGCGTGGGAGGGTGAGAGAATTCACCAGAGCCAGAGCGGGGAGCAGAGCAGGCAGAGGGACCGAAGTACACTGCTGAGGGGAGCAGCGGGCCGCAGGAGAGGTCTGCGTGCCATGTGGGACCCTCCTCCGGTGGCCGGGGAGCAGCCGGGGATCGAACCGGCGCCTCAGAGGCTGCGGGCAGGTTTGCAACCCAGCGCTTAACTGCTGCGCCACCGGGGAGGCCCTATATATATAATTTAAATGTCTTAGTAGCCACATTAAAAAGGTAAAAAGAGCTAGGTAAAATTAATAATACATAGTTATTTAGTTCAGTATATCTAAATTATTAGTTCAGTATATAAACAATGTAAAAAAATTTTTTTCCTCTAGGAAAAACAAGGTAAACATCAAAGTATCTAATTCAGGCCTATGATACAATATTTTACAATGATTAAATTTAAATACCATTGTGTTTAGCAGAAGAAAGTTGAATTTAAGAGAAAAATATTTTTACTACCTCAGTTAAATAAATTAAAGTTAATTAAAATTAAATAAAATTTAAAAATTTAGTTCTTCATTTTCACTAGCCACATTGTAAATACTTAATTGCCACATATGTCTAGAACAATGGCACAATTATAAAATTTACTTAGAAGTCATCTATTTTTTTTTTTTAAAGATTTATTTATTTACTTTATTTATTTATACAAGCACTGGGTACAGTCAGAAGCGTGGGAGGGTGAGAGAATTCACCAGAGCCAGAAAGGGGAGCAGAGCAGGCAGAAGGACCGAAGTACACTGCTGAGGGGAGCAGCGGGCGGCAGGAGAGGTCTGCGCGCCATGTGGGACCCTCCTCCGGTGGTGGGGAGCAGCCGGGGATTGAACTGGCACTGCAGAGGCTGCGGGCAGCTCCGCAACCCAGCGCTCAACCGCTGCGCCACCGGGGAGCCCCAGAAGTCATCTATTTTTCAAGCAAAAAATGCGTCATGACTTTTCCAACAACTCAATATTTTCATATTTCCTTTTCCTCCCTTGCTATGAAAAGTCTTAGTTTTCAGCATTTTATTACAAAGTTCAGTGTTTTAAAAACTTCTTAAAATGCTTCTAAGATTAAGGAATTCTATAACTATTTAGCCGATTCTTTGAAATGGTGTTACTGAGCTGTTTGGGACTTGATTTTTAGATGTGTCCCTCGAACACTAAGTGTAAGTAGCCCTATTTTGATTGGTTCTCAACTGGGAGTGAATTTTTTTTGGTGATTTTTCCCAACTAGGGGGTGGGATGTTACTGGCAGGTAGTAGTGAAAGTAAGGTTACTGCTAAACATCCTGCAATGCACAGAACTTCCCACAAAGAATTACCTGACTCAAAATGTCAGTAATGCTGAAGTTAAGAATCCCTGCTCTTTTGATATTCAGGGTACTTTCATTGACAAATTTGCTTTATTTTCAAATTTTATCTTCAAATGATAGTGATTCATAGTCTATCTTATTTATTATACAAACATCATGACTAGTGCTAATAAACAGTTTACTTTTTAAAGAGATTCAGTGATGAATGAATGAGTTTGTAATTAACATTTCTAATCAGTTTTTCTTCACTGTTGTGTAAATTTTAACGTTAATATATTAGATGTTCAAATAATAGAAAATTTGCATTTTATGTACATGGTTTGTGACAAAGCTTTTTATTTTTACTAGGAAGGTGAAGGTATATAGCACAACTTCCTACAAAGTAGTTCACAGTTTTGACTATGCAGCTTCAATTTTAAGTCTTGCACTTGCAGTAAGTACTTTTATCTCTTTTTAAAACTTTCACTAATCTTGCATATTACATTGAAAGTAAAATGGCATTTTAGGGTTAATATTCATGTTTGAATAAATCTTACTTTCGCCACATTAGATAATTGAGTTAAGAAAATTGCTAGAATCTGACTTGTCTCAGTAACAGCTTGAATTTAGATTCCAGTTCTACTCACTGCGTATCTTCAAACTAAATAAGTGCTATGGCTATGGGTATTGTTAACACTAACAGCAGGCCAGGAAGTTTATAAATCTCTCTTCAACACTTTCAGCTCTAGGATTAAATTCTCTGGAAAGGCAAGCCGGCTCTCCAAACAAACAAACATGCAAACAAACAAAATAGGATAGTGAAGGGGACAACAAAATAAGATGATTATCTTCATTGACTGTGCTTTCTGGAATATTCATTGTTTCATGAACCATTGAGGAAAAGGCATTTGAATACATTACATAGAAACTGGATTTGGGAGAGCAAAGCTTAATTGCAAAGTATTTTCTTGGCAGCGTTGTGGAACGTCATACCACTGTGTAATACTTCTTAAGGGAGGATACAGGAAAAAAATATTTTGAATTTCCCAAGATGTCATTAACTTTTTATTATTATGCAAACTTTTCCAGTGATATTTTACAACACATGTAAGTTCTGTCAATATGATAATATCTTAGAGGAAAAATAGCTGCTCTTTTTGTGGAGATCATTGCTAGACAAAGTTTCTGTATCTGCATGGGATTCCTGGTAAAAGTATGGATAAGCAGCACACATATTATGAATGTTATTTTGAAGAAAAATTACTATACATTATGAGCTGGGAATAGACTAACTTATTTTTCTAATTGCTGTTAGCATGAAGATGAGACCATAGTTGTAGGAATGACCAATGGAATACTGAGTGTTAAACATCGGAAATCTGAACCAAAGAAGGATTCTCTTCCTAAGAGAAGAAGGCCTGCATATCGAACCTTTATTAAAGGAAAAAATTACATGAAGCAACGGGTATTTATGTACTTTTGATATTTTTCCGAAAGGTGATATTTATGAGATAGCTCCACCCCCTTGACATCACTGGAAAATGTAGTTCATATGGCAGTTAACTTTATTTTGCTCTTGTCTACATCAGCTTTATCTCCAGATTGCTAGATGAAGACGTTACTCATATGTAATGGGGAATAAGGACTACTTTATTTAATGTCCTAAATCATAGTAACCTTGGAGTGCTCTGCCGTATTCAAAGAATTGTCTTTTGCACAATTTCTGACTTGGTCTTTTAACCAACCCTGAGAAAGAGTAACATCTGTAATGTCTGCTGTATTCAGTATCTAAGAGGATTGAGGTATAAAAGAAGTTGTGATTAAGCCAGAATTTCATTATTGGTAATTAGGATTGTTGGGAGTGATTTCTACTAAAGCACATTGCCTGCCATGGAAAGATACTTTAAAGAGTAATTTACGCTCAGAACTGAGATAATCATGTATTGTAACTTAAAATCATAGGATAGTAGCAGCACGTTGATGTTGAAAATGTTATTTCATTTTTATTTAATCTACATAATGGGCATATGAACATTCTCTTGCAGTTCAGGGATACTTTGATATAGAAATACCATTGTGAAAAGATTGAATGAAATTATACTGATACTGATTTTTTCTATGAATTTACTTTTTAAATACAGGATGACATTTTGATCAACAGACCATCAAAGAAATACCTAGAATTATATGACAGGGATCTGAAACATTTTCGGATCTCTAAGGCACTTGACAGAGTCCTTGAGGTAAGTGAGGAACAGTTTCTTTTTTAAAATTAGTTTTAGGTTCACAGCAAAATTGAATGAAAGGTCCAGCGATTTTCCATATTCCCCATCCCTGCACATGTGTATCTTCCTCGCCTGTGAATATCCCCCACCAGAGTGGTACATTTGTTACAACTGATGACTCTACTGGGGACACATTTTAAAGAGAATTATTTTATTTCTTACCTTGCATAGTATTACCATGACTCAAAACTATGAAGGTAATAACTTATTTAAAATTGGTAACTGTTAGGGTTTTTTCTTGTGCTGTCTTGTGTGCTTATTAACTCTGAAAATTTTTTCAGCCTAGTTGTACTATAAAGACACCTGAGATTACAGTCTCTATCATAAAGGAGCTAAATCGAAGAGGGGTCCTTGCAAATGCCCTCGCAGGTCGGGATGAAAAGGAAATTAGTCGTGTTCTTAATTTTTTGATAAGGTATGTTTTGTGTCTGTGAAACACTCGTATTTTGCATTTGAAATCCTTTATCTCCAAATGAGAGATGTTGGCTTTTAGCTTGATCTTTATAATGAATCAGTGGAATAATTCAGTAAATCAATTTTAAGGATTTAAAAAAAAATTTCTAAATTTCAGTAAAGAAAATCTTTGCTTTGTAGGAATCTGTCTCAGCCACGATTTGCCCCTGTTTTGATCAATGCTGCTGAAATAATTATTGGTAAGTAGATGTTGAAATGTGAAAAATCCTAGCATGTTTGCAAAAAGTAGAGGTGTCAAATAATGATATAAAATTGAAATTTGAATAGATTGAAGTACCTTATTTTTTTTTTTTTTTTTTTTTTTATAAATTTTATTGTTATATTCCCCATACAATTGCAGCCCCCCCATTCTGACCCCAATCCCTCCCCTCCCACCCCCGCCCCCCTAAAAGTGTCTCTGGTTCATAGTTTTTTGTTGATTTTGATTTTCACTTTCTTATAGTTATTCATTTTCCTGGTCCCTTATTTAAGTTTTCTAGGTTCCTGCTATGAGTGAGACCATCCGGTACTTTTCTTTTTCTTTTTGGCTTATTTCGCTGAGCATGATCCCTTCCAGCGCCATCCATGTTGCTGCAAATTGCATGTGTTTATCTTTTTTGAATGCTGAGTAATATTCCATGGTATATATGTACCACATCTTCTTGATCCAGTCATCTATTTTTGGGCATTTGGGTTGTTTCCAAAGCTTAGCTATTGTAAACAGTGCTGCTATAAACATAGGGGTGCAGGTGTTCTTTGGAATTGATGTTTCTGTGTCCTTTGGGTAAATACCTAGGAGTGGAATTGCTGGATCATATGGAAGCTCTATGTTTAGTAGGTCCAGAAATCTCCATACAGTTTTCCACAGTGGTTGGACCAGTTTGCACTCCCACCAACAGTGCAGAAGAGTTCCTTTTCTCCACACCCTCGCCAACATTTGTTGTTGCTAGCTTTTTTAATATGTGCCATTCTCACTGGTGTAAGATGGTATCTCATGGTAGTTTTGATTTGCATTTCCCTGATGACAAGTGATGTTGAACATTTTTTCATATGCCTGTTGGCCATTTGCATTTCCTCTTCAGAGAAGTTTCTTTTAAGCTCTTCTGCCCATTTTTTGACTGGATTATTTTCTTTGTTGTTGTTGAGTCTCATCAGCTCTTTGCAGATTTTTGTGATCAGTCCTTTATCATTAGTGTTGGGTGCAAAATGTTCTCCCAGTTGGTGGGGTTTCTCTTTGTTTTTGTTATTGTCTCTTTTGCTGTGCAAAAGCTCTTTAATTTGATGTAGTCCCAGCTGTTTATCTTTGCCTTCACTATCACTGCTTTGGGTGATGTGTCTGTAAAGATGTCTTTGATGTGCAAATCACGTAGTGTTTCGCCTATATTTCCTTCTATATTTTATGGTTTCAGGTCTTATGTCTAGTTCTTTAATCCATTTTGAGTTGATTTTTGTGTATGGTGTGAGGTGGTGGTCAAGCTTCATTCTTTTGCATGTAGCAACCAGTTTTCCCAGCACCATTTATTGAACAAACTTTCTTTGCTCCAATGCATATTCTTTGCTCCTTTGTCAAAGATTAGTTGACCATAAATCTGTGGGTTTATTTCTGGATTTTCTATTCGATTCCATTGGTCTGTATGTCTGTTCTTGTTCCAATACCATGCAGTTTTGATGATTATGGCTTTGTAGTATAGTTTGAAGTCTGGGAGTCTGATGCCTCCATTCCCTTCTTTTTTTTTCAGGAGAGCTTTGGCTATTCGGGGTTTTTGGTGATTCCATATGAATTCATCAATAATTGTTCTATTTCTTTGAAGAATGACATTGAAATTTTGATTGGAATAGCATTAAATCTGTATATTGCTTTTGGTAGGATGGCCATTTTAATAATGTTTATTCTTCCAATCCATGAGCAGGGGATGTCTCTCCATTTCTTTGTGTCTTCTTCTATTTCTTTTAACAGTGTTTTATAGTTTTCTTTGTATAGGTCCTTTACCTCTTTTGTTAGATTTATTCCCAAATATTTGATTTTTTTGTTTCAATAACAAAGGGATGGTCTTTTTGATTTCTTCTTCTTCAGATTTATTGTTTGTGTATAGGAAGGCTACTGACTTTTGCGTGTTGATTTTGTATCCTGCCACTTTACTGAACTGATTGATGAGTTGAATTAGCTTTTCTGTGGAGTTTTTGGGGTTCTCTATGTATAATATCATATCGTCTGCAAATAGTGATAGTTTGACTTCTTCTTTTCCTATTTGGATTCCTTGGATGTCTTTCTCTTGTCTTATTGCCCTGGCTAGGACTTCCAGTATTATATTGAAAAGCAATGGTGAGAGTGGACATCCTTGTCTTGTTCCAGATCTTAATGGAATTGCTTTCAGCTTTTCACCATTGAGAATGATACTGGCTGTTGGCTTGTCATAGATGGCCTTTATGATGTTGAGGTATGTTCCTTGTATCCCCAGAATTTCAAGGGCTTTTATCATGAATGGGTGTTGCACTTTGTCGAAAGCTTTCTCAGCATCTATTGATATTATCATATGGTTTTTATATTTCTTTTTGTTGATGTGTTGGATAACGTTGATTGATTTTCGGATGTTAAACCATCCTTGTGCCCCTGGAATGAATCCAACTTGGTCGTGGTGAATTATCTTATGGATACATTGTTGGATTCTGATAGCTAAAATTTTATTGAGGATTTTTGCATCAGTGTTCATTAGGGAGATTGGCCTGTAGTTTTCCTTTTTTGTGTTGTCCTTGTTCGGTTTTGGTATTAGTGTAATGTTGGCTTCATAAAACGTGTTTGGTATTTTCCCTTCCTTCTCAATTTTTTGGAAGAGTTTGTGAAGGATAGGCACTAATTCGTCTCTGAATGTTTGGTAGAATTCATTTGTAAATCCATCAGGTCCTGGGCTTTTGTTTTTGGGAGGTTTTTTATTACCATTTCAATTTCGCTAATTGTAATTGGTCTGTTTAGGTGTTCTATTTCTTCTTTATCTAGCTTTGGGTGATTGTAGAGTTGTAGGAATTGTCCATCTCCTCTAGATTGTTAAACTTGTTTCCATATAACTGTTCATAGTAGTTACTGATTATTCTTTTGATTTCTGCTGTGTCCGTTGTGATTTCTCCTCTTTCATTGATGATCCTGTTTATTTGTGCTTTCTCCCTTTTTTCCTTTGTGAGCCTGGCTAGGGGTTTGTCTATTTTATTGATTTTTCAAAAAACCAGCTCTTGGTTTCATTGATCTTTTGGATTGTTTTTTTAGTTTCAATTTCATTTATTTCTGCTTTGGTTTTTATTATTTCTTTTCTTCTACTGGTTTTGGGGTTTTTTTGTTGTTCTTTTTCTAGATCTTTGAGCTTCGAGATGAGGTTGTTTCTTTGCGTTCTTTCTTGTTTCTTGATGTGAGCTTCTATTGCTATATATTTCCTCTTATTACTGCTTTTGCTGCATCCCATACATTTAGGATATTAGTGTCCTCCTTGTCGTTCAATTCAAAAAATTTTTTAATTTCTTCTTTGATCTCCTCATTAGTCCAATGGTCTTCCAGTAGTGTGGTTTTTAATCTCCATGAGGTAGGAAAGTTCCTTGCCTTCTTTTTATGGTTTATTTCTAGTTTGATGCCTTCATGGTCAGAAAAGATGGTTGATATGATTTCAATCTTGGTGTATCTGTTGATGTTTGTCTTGTGCCCCAGTATGTGATCGATCCTGGAGAATGATCCGTGTGCGCTTGAGAAAAATGTGTACTCCGTTTTTTGGGGTTTAGTGTTCTATAGATGTCTGTTAAGCCAATTGCTCTAGGTCCTTATTTAGAGCTTTGGTTTCTTTACTTATTTTTTGTCTTGTTGATCTATCCATTGTTGATAGTGGTGTGTTGAAGTCTCCCACTACGTATGTGTTTTCTCTGATGTCTGTTTTCAGAGAGGACAACAGTTGTCTGATATTTTGGTGCTCCTTCGTTTGGTGAGTATATGTTAATGAGTGTTATTTCTTCTTGAAGTATTGTCCCCTTGATCATAATGTAGTGACCATTGGGGTCTCTTTTTATCTTTTTGAGTTTGAAATCTGTTTTATCTGATATAAGTATAGCTGTTCCTGCTTTCTTTTTTGGTCCATTTGCTTGTAGGATTGTTTTCCATCCTTTAACTTTGAGCCTATTTTTATCTTTTGTAGCTAAATGTGTTTCCTGGAGACAGCAAAAGGTTGGGTTTTGTTTCTTAATCCAGGCTGCCACTCTGTGTCTTTTTATTGAAGAGTTTAGTCCATTTACATTTAGAGTTAATATTGATATGTTAACATCTGTATTTGCCATTGTGTTTGTCTTTCCTTTGATTTTATTTATTTATTCTTTTAATAACTTTTTTTTTTTTTTTGGCCTTCTTTCATTGTTATTCGTCCCTCTGAGGTTCTGGCTTTAGGACTCCTTGTAGTATTTTTTGGAGTGGGGGTTTAGTTGCAATGAAATTCCGGAGTTTCTGTTTGTCTGGGAAGGTCCATATTCTTTCTTCAAAGAGGAAGGAGAGCTTTGCGGGATAGAGTATTCTTGGTTGGCATCTGTTTCTTGGAGTCTGTTGACTATGTCCCTCCACTCTCTCCTTGCCCGTAGTGTTTTCTTCGGAGAAGTCTGATGTCAGCCTGATTGGTTTCCTTTGAATGTTATCTGTTTCTTCCCTCTTGCCAGCTTCATTATTTTTTCCTTGTCCTGGATTCTTGGGAGCTTTACTATTATGTGTCTTGCTGTATTTTTCCTTTCGTCGTGGAAGTTTGGTGTTCTTCTTGCTTCTTGTATATCAATTTTCAGCTCCTTCTTCACATTTGGGAAGTTCTCTTCAATTATCTCTTTGAATATTTTCTCTGTTCCTACATCTCTCTCCTCTCCTTCTGGTATTCCTATAACTCTTATATTTCCTTTCCTCATGGAGTCAGATAGTTCCCGAAGTCTTTCTTCGTTCTTTTTCCTTCGTACTTCTCTTTCCTTTTCTGTTTTGGTTCTTTTTATTTCTGTGTCTTCAAGATTACTTATTCGTTCTTCCATTTCATCTATTCTGCTTTCATTGCTTTTCCCAGAATTCTTTAGTTCTTCCATTAATTCTTTGATCTCCTGCATTTCTTTTACTTCCCTCTTTAGGGACTCAATTCTTTCTTCTGACCATTGTTTTCCCTCTCTAGGGACTCAATTGCATTCTTCTGATCGTTGATTATTTTTCCCTTATCATTGTTTTCCTTTATGACTTCTGTCAGTTTTTAATCACGGCAATTTTAAATTCTCTTTCTGGAAGGCTCAGAAATTCTTCCAAGTTATTGTCTTTGCAATCTGGGGGCTGGCTTTCTTTTTGTGGTGTGCTTTTTCTCTGGAGAGTTGCTAGGTTGCGTGTGGTTCTTCTCCTCCCTACTGTCTGTTTTCTAATTTGCCGTATGCGTTGGGACACTGTGTTGTTGGGACTGGCCGGCATCTTGGGTGGGCTTCTCTGTTCCCCTCTGGTTCTTCCAGGAGTCATCTGTCAGTTTCAAGCAGCCTTTAATGGAGAAAGGTCCCTGTTCTAAAATGCCGATGTGGGGACACACTCCCCTGTGCGCCTGGTCTGCCCCGGCGGTGGGTTCCTGCTCCCCTCTGGGCTTGGACTGCAGGCCAGAGGGGGTCTGGCGTGGGCGAACTTCCCCCGCTCACCTCTGGCTCCTGAGGAAGCCTTCTGCAGGTAGTCTTTACTGAAGAAATGTCCCTGTTCTAAAATGGTGATGTGGGACACACTCCCTGCGCGTCTGGTCTCAGGCACACTCTCTGCGCGCCTGGTCTGCCCCGGCGTGTGGGTGCTCGCTCTCCCTGTGGGCTCAGACTACTTGTTCGGAAGGAGCCAGGTGTGGGCTAACTCCCCAGCTGGCCACTAGCTCCTTCAGTAGCCTGTGCTGGGGTCAAGTCGCTAGGTGCGCCAGAGATCTCTCCTAGAGCCCTTGGGGAGCTGATTTTCCACCCCGTGGGACAGGGAGCAGAGCGGGGGATGGTAGGGTACACCTCAATGGCTTTGGGGTTGCTGTGTCTGCCTTGTGCCCCACCGTCGTGGGGAACCCACGCCCCTAATTTCGTGCCCCAGGTCTCAGTTCCAAAGCCCTCAGTTCCAGGACGCGGGCTGTTGCCCAGATCAGTGGCGCGGGAATGGCGCCTTTTGAATCCCGCTCCCCTGCCTGGGCGCCTTGTTCCTGCTCACTCAGGGAGGCCTCCGCCGTCTCCCCGCAAGCCTAGGTCGCAGGCGCGGGGACCTGGGCAGCTGCGATCCGGTCTGGATCCGCACCACTTTCCGCGCAAGCTTACCGGGCGGCCGGGGCTGTGTGCTGGTGCTGGTCTCCTCCTGGGGGGCGGGGCTCTCTTTAATGGCGCCCGGAGCTCACCTCCGCGGCGGATCCTGCAGGGTTCGCCTCAGCTCCCGTTCACGGGGTGTGGTGGCTGCAATAGTTCCCTTTCCACTCACAGTCCCGCTTGCTGTGTCCGTTTTTCTTGTTGGCCGTTTTGGTTTGTTGTTTCCTCCTCTTGCCGGTCGGAGAGTGCCGCCTCTGTGGGCGGGGGAGGGGAGCAGGGTTCTGCGCTTCCCTCCCTTCTGGTCCTCTTTTATGGCCACTTTCTTCTTCGGGCAGTTTGCTGGAGTCGTCCGTTTATCTTCCGTGTCCCAGTTCTCACTGGGACCTGCCGCTTTTCCTCCCTATTAACTTTTTTTAATGGGAGATCTTACTCGCAGCGTCTCCTCGCCGCCATGTTGCTCCGCCCACTTTCTGAAGTACCTTATTTTTATCATTTCTCCAGTAAGAATATTCATGGAGAAAATGAACACAGTAATAAAGCTATGCATTTAAAAAATGGAGTAAAATGTTTTTAGTAGTTTGACTTTGTATTGCTGGTAGGGAATTAACATTTTTTCCCCCAACCTTCTCTAATGACTTTGACAACTTTCAATGGGAAAATGAAAATAAATCAGAACCTCCATCATGTCCTTTTTTGTTTTTTGTTTTTTTTTTAATAATAAATTTTATTTTTATATTCCCCATACAATTGCAACCCCCTTATTTTGACCCCAATCCCTCCCTCCCACCTTCTACCCCCCATAGAGTGTCTCTGGTTCATAGTTTTTGTTAATTTTGATTTTCACTTTCCCATAGTTATTCATTTTCCTGGTCCCTCATTTAAGTCTTCTAGATTCCTGCTATGAGTGAGACCATCCGGTATTTTTCTTTTTCTTTCTGGCTTATTTTGCTGAGCATAATCCCTTCCAGCGCCATCCATGTTGCTGCAAATTGCACATCATGTCCTTTTTTGAAATACATCTATTCAAATGGATTATCTGCTTTCTGTAAATCACAAATTAACTGTAAAATAAGCTCACATATTTCACTGTCTTTATATCTAATATTTTTATATTTTTCCTAAATATTGCTGTTCACTTAATTGTATAGGAGGATATTTCTAGTTAATGTATTTCTTTCTTTCTTTTCTAGATATATATCTGCCTGTGATTGGTCAGTCACCTGTAGTTGATAAAAAGTTTTTGGTACTTCAAGGACTTGTAGAAAAAGAGATTGATTACCAAAGAGAGCTTCTTGAAACCTTGGGGATGATGGATATGCTTTTTGCCACTATGACAAGGAAAGAAAGTACTCTGTGTTGCAGCATGCATCTGATGGATTTCTAGAAAATAAGAAGATAGAATCATAGTGTTTACTACAACTAAACCTAAAAACTCCTAACTTGGAATAGATTTGACTCTATTATTGGAAGGAGAATTTTTTTGATATTGTAAAAACTCTTTTAGAAGCAATTTTATGGAAGAGACCGGAATAATTATGATTGGAAAATAAGTACTTATATTAGACATGGTTTCCATGTAATATTTTGAATTATTTTATGGCACCTTTGGCTGGAAGATCTCATTTGTCCTGGTTATACTGTCTGTCTACCTTGATCATGCTGATAGTAATCTTGATACAACAAAGTTCTGTATCACCCTGTGGGTAGGCATTCAGAACTCTGGAAGGGGTTTTTCGATTGGGAATTCTGCCAAAGAAACGGGTTTCTTTTTTACTTCTTCCTTCAAAAAGAACAACAACAAATCAACAAATGACAGCAAATAAACTCTTCATTTTGATCAGTGCTGTTGGGATTTCCAGGCTCAGCGAAACTTGCCTCCTCTCTGACATTGTTAAATGTCTGAGGCCCCATGCTTCATCTGGTAATAGAACCATCTCTGTTCCAAGTGTGGCCAACTCTGAATATTTCACACCAGATGGACATGTACTCAGAATGTGTTGAGGCAGATTTGATACCTAAAAATCGTGCTATCACAGGTTTTCTTTTCATTTTTTTTAAGCTTAATTCTCTATCAGAATGTGGTTTATAATTGGACCATTTCTCTTCCCCTCAAAATACAGTCTTTTTACCATGTTTTCAACTTGATTCAGGTGAGGGGAATGATAAAGTTTGCATTTCTCTTGCAATAAATAGCCTTTCAGCCTTTTATACATGTTTGGAGCTTATCTTCTAGTTAACCTACCCCTCTGAAAACCATTTTCTCTTATCTGTATTTAAATTTTTTCCCTATTCTTTACAATCATCTTGTGATGAATATCAAGTCCCAGAGTAGCTTGCCTTGAAAAATAGTTTTTTTTTTTAATGTGTTCAATGTAAATCATTTTTTATAAAGAAATTCCTATTTTCTTTTTGACTTTCAGAGATGTATCAGTTCCTGATGGATTGTCACTGATTAGTGACAGCTAGCACTCTTTCACACTTGCTACCTCTTCTACTTCCCCCAATTCCTGTTCCACCCCAAGTAGTTAATTACTGTAGGGAAATATGCCGTTAGCTATGGGAAGATCTTGTAGTGGGATTTCCTCTTAAAACTTCAGTTTTATGAATTTAGGTATTTTTTAATGTTCTGGTGCAGGCATGTGCTTAAAACAGGGTCTAGTTTCTCTTTTATGACCTGTCTTAAGCATTCACATAGGGCAGTGACTAGTAAGAAACCAGGAGTTTGCTTCCTTGAAGAATTAGGAGGTGATCAGGGCCATCTTGAGAAGGGTTAATTTATAAATAACTTAAAAAAATTTTTTTTAAAAAAAGATTTTAAAATTTAACTTCATGGTACATTGGTAACTTGAATACTAGTGTATTTTAAATTGAAATCTAAAATTCTAGCTGTTATCAAGACTAAGGTGTGATGGAGTTTTCCACACATTTGATTCTCACCACAGCCATCCAAGGTTTGTTTCATTTCCATTTGACATTGAATTAACTTTGTGAACTCACTCTTGAAGTCCCCAAGCTGGAGTTCCTCACTATGCCAGCACTCTGAATGACTGCCTGCTGGGGCTAAACTGCCCATTCCCTTTAACAGAACTTTCCCTAGTGCTGCAGTTTTCAGATGAAATTTGTAATGATTACAAATTCCCAGAAATGTTAAGAAATAACTCCCATAGCCATCAATACTTTTGTGTTAGGTTTAGTTTTTATATTCATTAGGGCAAACTAATATTTGCTATTTTGAATTTTTAAATAAAGTGAACATATTACGGTATGACATTGGCTTTTGGGATCTAACTTACTGTCTAATACTTTTAGACTAGTGATTATTAGTTAAAAGATATTTTCAAATGTTACTAAGCATGCAAAAATGAAATGGTTCAGAGAATTTGGAAAGTATGTTTAATTTATTACATTGTAGGGATTAAGTACTTGGGAATTTTTGCTTGTAGGGGCAAGCATTTGAAGTGCTGTGTAAAAGAAAATCAAATATTTTAAATGTATAAATTCTGTTAAGTTGTTTAAAGGAATTTGGATTATAAATGAGTCTGTTTAAAGAAATTTAGTCTGTTCAATTTTAATGAACTCTATCAAACATCGCTTAAAGGTGCCCTTCAAAGTGATTATTAAAATGTACAGATTTCTAAATGGAATGTTTGTAAGTTAGACATACAAGCTTAAGGAAAGCTTTAATATCCTTTGACAAGTAACCCAATTGACTTTCCTGTGTACAAAATGCTTTTTCAGACGCTGAAAAGTACTCTGATTTATAAGTAGGCTACGTGCCTGTTCTCCTAGGCCATAGTTGACTGGACCATGGGTGGTATACCTGACATAAACAGGGAGTTTTAACTGATATTTGTAATAAAATTCTTGATCTGGGAAAATGTGGGAGGCTACAAATGCTGTCCTTGTTCCAGCTGCTCATCTTCATCTAAGGGAATGCTCTCTACCTCTGCAGCGCCGCACCCCTCACCAGTATTGTTTCTAAGATGTATTCCCTGAATAGGGCACTTCTTATTCCACAGGATACTTAATTACTGTATAGAGAGGGAATACTGTTTTCTCACTCTGCACACAGCAGAACTGAGATGACACAAAGTTTAAGTGGCTGGTCCAAATTCATCCTGTTGGTTAGTGACAGATTGTGGATTTGAACTCAGGAAGTCTGGTTCAAGCATATATTCCCAATCACTACAGGAATAACATATTCTAGAAATGTGAAAATACACCCTTACTAATCTTTGTATTCTTGACTTAGTCTAGTATACATAGTTGGTGGGTAGTAAATGTGTGCAGAATGAATGAGTAGAATGAATGTGTATTGGTTCCAGCTTGGCAATTGACATGAAAACAGCAGCTTGGTTACTCTATATAAGATGAAGTGGTTATATAATCGTTTTTCTGAGAGCTACAAATCAAAATGTTTTCTGGAAACTCACTGCCCATTGAGAATTTGGGTGAAATTGAACCATGTAGTGGGTCCTTATCTTAGCTCACTGTTAGTCCACCAGGTGGCAGTATTATTTTGAAAACCATGAGAAATGGTCTTTCCCTCATCCTTTTCCTAAATCAGTTTGCTGTTACTGAGTAGTGTGAGTTCTTTTAGAAAATAACCAAGATACTCAGTTATTATTATGTTGACCAGTTAAAAAAGCCATCTATAATAAGTGTGAATTAGAAATATGGAAATTAAATTACTCAAAGTCCTCTGAATTAAAGATTGAACTTTCCAATAATGTAGAATAATAGAACACGAACTTGAACAGATAGATCCCTGATACCTTGGGCTGAGAACATGATCTTGGGTAGATCCATGATACATTGGGCTGAGGTTTCCATATTTGTCATGAATGGGGTTAATATCACCTCACTTGCTTAGGTTGATGCAAATAAATGATTAGGTGAGATAGAAAGTGTTCTCCTGTCATGTGTTTTTCATGTTTGATTATGGTGAGTCCACTTACCCTTTATCAATTGTGAGCTTTTTCTTAGCTTCTTGATTACTGACATTCAAATCACTTTGGTAAGAGTTGAGTTGAAGTTTTACACTGTTATAAAGGATGTTTTCTAAATAATTACATAAGCTTTGTACTGAAGAGTATAACTGATTGTCAGGCCTACAAGCATTTTGAAAGCAGATGATAGGATATGATGTTACAAATAAGACATTATCCACTTGTTCATAAACTGTTAGTTGAAAGTAAAATATTAGTTGGTGTTGAGTCTTTAGTGTCATAGTGAAAGATTTAAATGGTAAATGTCTTTAGACATTTATTAATGCACACTTCATTCAAATTAAGTATTAGTTGGGACTCTTACAACTTTACTGAGAAAAGGTTAAAAATATAAACTAGGTTAATTTAATGAAGGTTGACAATTTTCTATAAAACGTTACTATAAAACTGAGTTCATAAAAGATATATTCTTGACAAAGTGCTCACAGTTTTTTTTCTTGAATGCACCAGTCAAAAGGCAATTTCCGGGCCTCCCCTGGTGGCACAGCGGTTGAGTGCTGGGCTGTGAAGCTGCCCATAGCCTCTGCGGTGCCAGTTCGATGCCCAGCCACCGGCGAGGGTCCCACATGGAGCAGCAGACCTCTCCTGTCTCATCCTCTGCTCCCCTCAGCAGTGTATTTCGTCAGGCTGTCTGTTCTGTTCCCTGCTCTGGCTCTGGTGAATTCTCTCACCCTCCCGCACTTCTGATTGTACCCAGTACTTGTTTAAATAAATAAATAAATCTTTTAAAAAAAAAAAAAGTCTTTGCTTTAAAAAAAAGCAACTTCCTCTTTTTTGTATTTTTCTTTTGAAATTTTGAAATTTGAAATATTTTTGTATTTTATATTGAAATTTATTAACAGCAGCAAATACGAATTTCTAAGAGATTACTGTGTTTATAGCCATTATTTTCTACCATAAAATCATTACCCAAATGTACACATAATGTAGTGGTTTTAATTACTTAATTTGCAGAAAACTCTAGATAAACTGGTTATCTTTGTAAATAAAGTATTGTCTCATTGCTATAAGCAGGTCATGCAATCAATTATAAATTTTCTTAGGAACCGGACAAGGAGTTCATTTGAAAGTCAGAACACTAATAATAATAAGCTGTAATATCAATAGTTCAAACAGCAACATGGATTATTTTATTTTTGGATTTCTTTTTTTTTTTAAAGATTTATTTTATTTGTACAAGAACCGGGATACAGGCCAGATGCCTGGTGAGAGGATGCACCAGAGACAGAGCGGGGAACAGAACAGGCAGACTGATGAAATTTACTGCTGAGGTGAGACAGGAGAGGTCTGCCGTGCCAAGTGGGTTGCTCCAAGGCCGGCAAGGATCAACCAGCACTGCAGAGGCTGTGGATAGCTTCACAGTGCTGCGCTCAACCGCCCGCGCCACCAGGGAGGCCCTATTTTTGGATTTCTTAACAGTATGGTATGTGAGAGTATGAATCTCCTGTGTCCATCCTGGAAAAATGAGTGATTACAAGACTTAAAATTTGAGTGCTGACTC